CTGTGAACAATCTCAATCTCTTCACCATCCATTATGATGCTGCCAATTGGCCCAGTGGTGAGAATCTTTGTTTTCTTGATATTGAGCCTAAATCCATACAGTCCCTGACACTCTGCAGCAAGCGCTTCAGGTCCTCCTCAGTTTCAGCAAGCAGGGTTGTGTCATCTGCATAACGCAGACTGTTGATGATTCTTCCTCTAATCCTGATGCACATTTCTCCTCATAGAGCCCAGCCTCCTGTATGATCTGTTCTGCATAAAGAGTGAAAAGGTATGGAGACAGGATACAGGTCTGGCATACACCCTCCCAATTTTGAACCATGCCGTGTTTTCTTGCTCTGTTCTAATGACTGCCTCCTGGTCCAAGTATATGTTTTGCATTAGCACAATCAAGTGTTCAGGGATTCCCATTCTTCTCAGAGTCAGCCACAGTCTGTGATGATCCACATAGTCAAATGCCTTTGCATAATCAATGAAACAAAGACATTCTTCTGGTACTACTTGATTTCAGCCAAGATTCTTCCAAACCCAGCCTGTACTTCTGGTAGTTCTCTGTTGATGTGCTGTTTCAGTCATTTTTGGATAATATTCAGGAGAATCTTGCTTTCATGTGATATTAATGATACTGTTCGATAATTTCCACATTCTGTGGGATCACCTTTCTTTGGAATGGGAACAAATATAGGTCTCTTCCAGTCAGTTGGTCAAGTGGTTGTTCTCCAGATTTCTTGGCACAACTTGATGAGCACATCTAGGGTAGCATCTGTTAGTTGAAATATGTCAATCGGTATTACCATCAATTCCTGGGACCTTATTCTTAGCCAAATCTTTCAAAGCAGTCTGAACTTCTTCCTTCATCACCACAGGCTCTTGCCCATGTGGTATTTCATGAAATTCTTCTGTGTCTGCCAATTCCTTTTGGCTTAATGACTATACTCTTTCCATCTTCTTTTAATACTTGCAGGATCACTCAATATTCTGCCCAAAGCATCTTTAAATATTGCAACTCAATGCTTGAATTTCCTCTTCAGTTCCTACAGCTTAAGAAATGCTGAGCGAGTTTGGACACTTTGATTTTCTGACTCCAGCTCTTTGTACATTTCATTATAATACTTTACTTTGTCTTACTGCACAGCCTTTGAAATCTCCTGTTCAGCTCCATAATGTCTTAATTTCTTCCTTCTGCTTTGGCTTCTCGGTGTTCCAGTGCAATATTCAGTGTCTCTTCTGACATTCATTTTGGTCTTTTCTTCCTCCTCCATCTTTGCAATGACCTTCTGCACTCGGCCTCAAAACTGTTCCTGAGATGGTTCTTAAATTCAGGTGGGATAGACTCAAGGTCAAATTTTGGTTCCTGTGGGCTTAATTTCACTTTCTTTAGCTTCAGTTTAAACTTGCATACGAGTAGTTGGTGATCTGTTCCACAATCAGCACCAGGCCTAGTTTTCACCGCTGATAATGAGCTTCTCCAGCCTTTCTTTCCACAGGTATAATCTATCTGATTTCTATGCATACCTTCAGGTGAAATCCATGTGTATAGCTTGTGTTTATGTTTCTTGTAAAACGTTATTTGCAACAAATAAATTGTTGATTCTGCAAAATTCTATCATCCTACCTCCAGCTTCATTCCTGTCACCAAGTCCATGCTTTCCAACTACTTATCCTTCTTCTCTGTTCCCAACTTTTACATTCCAGTCACTCATCACTATTAATGCATTTTGATTGAATGTTTGATCAATCGCTGACTGTAAAAAGTTGGTAGAAATCATCTATTTCCTCTCCTTTGGCTCTGGATGTTGGTGCATATATGTGAATGATAGTGGTATTCACTGGACTTCCTTGTATGTATATGGATATTATCCTGTTAATCACAATATTATATTTCAAGACACATTTAAAAATGACTTTTTTAACTATGAAAGCAACCCCATTTTTCCTCCCCTATAAATTATGTTCTTAACTTCACTAAACTCCCTTTAATTTTTATAAACATGAGGTGTTATTAATAATTCTCTCTTTATGCATAACCAATATTAGAATAAAAGCACTCTTAACTCAGGACAGGAAATGGTACAGCCATAATACATATAATCTAAAACTTACATATGGATTAATGTAGATACATAGCTTTTCAATTAAGCTGCTAACTTGTAAGTAAGCAACTACTAAATTCTTTCAAATCTGTATGAAAGAAAAATATTTTTTCATCAAAATATATCATAAATTTAGAGTGATTTCAAAACTGTGATGTTAGCCAAGGATGGAGAAAAAGTTAAACTATTCCATAAAATAAAATTGGAAAACTCAGGGAAAAAAGGGAAGTAACAAAGTCTTATATAATCACAAATACCACATTGTAATGAGTTAAGTAGAACACAAACAAAAACAGCAACAAAAATATAGATATTCAGAAGAAAAACAAGGAATTTAAAAGGTGAATGCTTTCTGAAATCCAGACAGAAATAAAAATGGCTTCACTGACTATATAAAATAAAAAACGGAATAAAACCACCAAATAGTTGAATCACCTGACTACAGCAAATCATTTAGCAGAGAATTATCATCCAAAGTATAAATCAATCAGTTAAAAAAAAAATAAAATGACTCAACAGAAAACATTACAAAGAATAGTTTAAGAAAACAAACAAAAC